AGAGCTTGGCATGCTTATGGGTACTGCTTCAGCAGCTGGAGGCTCCTGTTCCTTTCTGTGAAGCTGCTGGTCTCATTACATTTTTAATGGCCATTCAGAAGCACAGGCAATTTGTAAAGTGAGTTTGTGTGTGGTCAATGCAATAACACAGCGTATTTTAGTATGTCCCACAAAAGGACTCCTAGAATAAATTGGTAAAACAACCTTTAGAACAAGTCAAGGGTTATCAGGGTGTTTTATAATCCAATGTTAAGCCACCTTGACAAATGCAGCCCAGATTCCCACAGCATGATAAACCACCATGGCTTTTCATCAAGAACTGATCAGAGATGATACATACACTCATTCTCGAGCTAACATCATTTTGCATGTTTTCCGTTAGTCACTTTGCATACTGCATGACAGAAATAGCTTTTCCTTGCTGCATGCTTCCAGATCCTGATACTCAGAAGTACACTGACCCTCAACAGAGAGAAGGCTTTAGTCATTATGCAGAATAAACACTGATAAACAGGTTTACCATTTTTGAATTTGTCTTGTGTCCTGTCCACAATTTATGCTAATTTATGGGAAGTTAAAATTACAAACCAACTCCAAAAGTTAAGATTTGTGCCTTGCAAATGTTGCTTCTGCTTTTGTCTCATGAAATAGCTTCATCTAGTGGAGTTTTACAGTATTATTCATTTTAAAGGACACTGTACTTATTTAATAATGAGCTGCATAATCTTATGCATGTTTACCCAGAGCTAAGTTCCATTTTGCCTGAAGGAAAGATGGCAGTGGGTTCCTATGAAAAGTTGTCAAAGTTACTGATGAACCTTGGTTCAGTGTCATGTATGTCAAAGTACACAATATTGAAAAGAAAACCACACAGTTCAGAAAATATGGTCTAAAAACACTTTTATTAGCTAAAGAAAGTACATTTTTGTTACCATAAAAATGACACTGTACATAATGGAACCCAAATTTATCATACTATGATTCTATAGTGCATATACAGAAGAAAGATTCCCATGAATAATCAGATGTTAACAGACAAGTAAAGTGGTCAATTCTTTTGGGGAAATCAGTCTGACAAACCTAACTTGATTGATGTGGGGTCTTTTTCATCAAATTCAGGGGAGGCAGTGATCATTTTGAATCAGTGTCTGTGCTCAGTACAAATTTAGTGCAAATACTGTTCGTGACTGATATATTGCAGGTTCAGATGGAGGGATGACTGAGAGTGGTTAGGGGACCACCCCTCAAAGGCCAGGATCTTTTCTCAGTCATCCCAAAGTGCAAGACATGGAATTATGGGTTCAAGTAGAAGAATTACAGCTTAAAAGAAGTACATGTTATATCAGGAAAAATATTCCTGACAGAGCAATACAACAATGTAATCAATTGCTTGGGAGGGGGGCATGGATTCTCCCACACTGAAGGCATTCAAGATGCAGCTGGACAGTCATCTGTTAGGAATGTTTTCGTAACCTGGACTCCTGCAATGAGCAGCCAATGTCTTTATTGGTCTCTTCCAACTCTACTAATCTATAATGCTATTATGGGTATCAGCCAAGCTTGTACTTCCCAGTTGCTATGGCCTAAGAACTTCCAAAAGCACAAAAATGCTGGGCCCAGTGTTCTTCAACATTTTTATTTATGATTTGCATGAGGAAGTACAGGAAACAATTATTGAATCTGCAGATGACAGAAAGCTGGGAGGGATAGCTAATACTCTGGAAGACAGAAAGATTTAAGGTGATCTGGATAGGTTGGTGCACTTGGCCGAAAATATCAGAAAAGGGACAAATGCCAAGTTCTGCACCTAGGAAAAGAAACCAAATGCATTATTATAAAGTGAGGAATACTAGGTTCAAATAATACTGCAAGTGAGAAGGATCTTGGAATTGCTGTAGATCACAAGCTGAGTATGAGCCAACAATGTGATGTGGCTGCAAAAACGGGCAAATGATATTTTGGACTGCAGTAATATTAGTATCACTTCCAAATCACATGAAGTACTGTATTTTTCGCTCTATAAGGCGCACTTTCCCCCACTCAAAAGGGGAAATGTCTGTGCATCTTATAGAGCGAATGTGTGTGTGCCCGACGCCCGGGACGCTGCCGGCCCCACGTGGCACCACCTGGCCGGCACGCACTCGACGTGCCCTGCTCCGTCCCCCTCCTCCAGCATAGGTGAGAGCTGTTAATCACAGGTCAGTGTGTGTTTTCAAATGGCAACCCATCTTTTAATGAAGCCCACGGGGAAGTGATGGGGAATGTGCCTGTGATTATCAGGAAGCTTTCCATGGATCAGTTATCTGTTAGTTGATCAGACACATTTTTTTAGGATCAGTGGATATTTGAACAGCATTACTTTCATGTATGAAGTTTATTCTTCAAAGGCTACTTAGTCCGCTGTGTGTTTGATCAACTAACAGATAACTGATCCATGGAAAGCTTCCTGATAATCAC